AAAAAAAATGAAATACAAAATTAAACTATTGAAGTAGCAACCATGGATGTACAAATTTCAAATGATTAATTATGAACTATAATTTTTTATAATTTAATGTTCTTGCTATTTATTTTTATTGTGCCTCTAATTGCTTAAACATGTTTCAGTAATAAGGCTGCTGTAGAATGTAAATAATTAAAGTGTTGCACTTAAGAAGGCTTTTGCACTTTATCTGAAAGTGAATGTTATTATAGTGCTGAGAAATGTATAGATAGATTTATTACATTTTAATTAGACTCATGCGATTATGCTGAATGTGATTATTGTTGTATTTATAATGGAGATACAGTTGAATGTGGAACATAAGAATAATGTTTAGCTTGGATTTTCATATTACTAGGTTCTTGGCTATTATTAACTATTATTGTTGTATTTGCAGCTATTAATCGAAAAAGAAATATCGCTACTCGTATGATTCTTATTGCTGAAAAAGCTAAACTTGTTGCTTAAGATAATTCAAGAAAATCTATTGTCTCATAAATCATTGCACCAGAACAAATTTATGGTAAAGAATTCTAAATTGAAAAAGATAACTATAATTTGTAATTATGATTTCTTTATTTTTATTTTCATTCATCATCAAAAATAGAATTCTATTTTTGTCGTTACTTATAAAATAACTCATTTTATAAACGATATATATTTTAAACACCAATTTCTATCATACAGTAATTTAAGACTTAACTGATTCATTCTATTTTTATCTCATTCTTAACATATAAATTCAATACTAAGTTTTTAAGAATTTTCAATATTTTTACAATTTCTCGAAAATCTTCATTTTTAGTCAATTATAGTCAAAAATCTATCTCATCTATAATTATTTAAGGTTATTTCCATCCATTTTATTTTTCAATTTCTAATAATTAATTCAAATCTAACAATTATTATTGTAATCTTAATTAACGTTCATCATTTAGTTATTAATTTTCCATTTTTTTTTGCAATATCTTAACAAAAATAAATTTACTAATCTTATATGTGGTTGTAATTAAAAAAATTAAATATGATAATTTAGTTTCGATTAGGAACAGAATATCAATTTATATATTTTTTGGATACATTTATTGTACAATAATTCAAATGGTTAAATATAAAAAATGTAACTATGAATTGCATAATTAAGGAAATAAAAAAAAAGAGAATTGAAAACACGTAAAAATAAAAGATTCATTAGATGAGAATAAAAATAAACCTGTACACTAATAATAAAATCTAAAAGTATTTAGGATGAATAATTTAAAGTGCAGTCTTTTTTGTTAAGTATAAAAATAAAGTTGATTGAAAAATGATTCAAAATTATTGATTTTTGGTATTTAAATTATATTGAACAGATAATGAAGTAAAAAAAGTTAATTGTATATATATACTTAATAATTTAATTATAAATAGATAATTATATATAAAAATAATATGAATAACTTGTTAATTAGAATATTTAATTATAACAGTTAATTTAAAAATTGATGAAGTCGAACAACGAAAACAATTATGTTAGAGTATCATACAATAACTTTGTAACAACACGAAATCGATAATTTGGTAATGAAATAACAAACATTTAACGTCAACCAACTCGATCTACATCATAATTCATCTGTTCTAAACCAATGTTAAAAATTGAAGAAGAAACAGCTCTCCCTGTTCCTGAATTAGTAAATCCGTATGTTGGTGATATTTTTGAATATCTACGTGTTAATCAACATAAATTCTTATGTTAGACTCCATTTTACATGAACTTACAATTAGACATTACTAATCAGATGCGTTCAATTCTAATAGATTGGCTTGTAGATGTTCATCTTAAATTTAAATTATAATCTGAAACACTCTATATGTCAATCAATTTAATTGATCGATATCTGGCTAAAAATACTATCATGCGAAATAAACTACAATTAGTTGGAATTGCTTCTCTCTTCATAGCATCTAAATATGAAGAAATTTATGCACCTGAATTAAAAGATTTTGTATGTGTTTGTGACAATGCTTACACAAAAGAAGAAATCCTTGGTATTTATCAACATTATTATTATTCCAGAAATGGAAAGCAAGATTTTACTAACTATCTAATTTCATTTGACTTTCACTTCCCCACTTAAATTCTTAGAAAGACAAATCTCAGGAGCCAATCTATGTGATAAAATCAATTTTGCATCCAGAATGATCTTAGAATTATCACTTCTAGATATTAGATGTCTTAAGTATTTAATAACTTTCTATATACAGATTTTCATCATCTTTATTAGCTACTACTGCTATTCTATTGGCTATTAATTTACTTCGATCTCCCTAAGTATTACCTTCATCACTTCATTATGTTGATAATCAAGAAGATCTTAGACAATGTTTATAAGACTTTCTACCTGTTATTAAATTATTATAAAGTACTAATATGACAGCTATCAAAAGAAAATATACTCAAGATAAGTTTAATAAGATTGCAGAATAAGTTCTCACAATCTTACATAATTAAAAATGAATTATAATCAATTAATATTTATTAGTTTTTCAAATTATTTCGAAGTCAAAATTTTATTTTATTTTTTAACTAATTTTACATTTTTAATCATGCTATGTTTAACATTAATTTTACTTCAAAAAAATATATTATCTAGTTTATTTTCATTATTTTCAAATTTTCTTTAATTAATAAACAAATCTATAGTTACAAATGAACTATTTCCTAAAATTATAAATAATTATATTTTTAAGTTATTTAACCAAAAATTATAAATGAATTTACCTAAATTCATTATCCAAACTAATATTGTAAAATTTTAGAATCACTTAAAATTTTCTTTTTATTCAAGAAAAAAAAATATATTTTATACAATTATGTAAGAGTGCACCAAATTAAAATATGTTCCATACAATCAAACTTTCCTTTTAATAATAGATAATTTTCAGTATATCTATAGAATTTGAATTCATTTTGAAATGAAAAGAAATATTACTATCAAACCTAAAAAATATAATTATTTTAAATAAATTGTAAAATTTTTTAGTAAAAATCAAAAGTACTATCTTATATGTAATTCTTCTGATGTGCTATCCCAAGTTATTAAAAATTCTCCATCATCACTCAAAGAACCAGAAATATTCGAATTAAGAAATTTTATTGATTAATGTAATCTAAATTCTTATTTATTAGAAAAATCAATTAAATGAATCCAATTACAACTTTTAACAACCAAAATATACTTTTAATTTATATATTACTAGTTAAAATTTCCCTCACATTTTGAACCATCTTAAATTAAAATTTCGCTGAATTTATAAATATTCTTAGTTCTCTAATTAAAATGGTTAATTATTATAAATCTCGATTTCTTAGGTAAAAACGATATAAAACAATTATCTATAAAACAGATGCTATAATCTTCATAATTAGTTTTAATTCGATATACAATGTCCCATTTTTTAGTATTGGGGCATTAATTTAATATCTAAATTTAGTGTTCTGAAGCTGAAATTAATTACTAGCATTCTTTATTAAAATATAAATTAAACACTTTTCCTGTATGAGTAACTATTGTTTAAAAGTTTTTCCAAGTATTTTAATAACTCCAAAATCTTAAAGATTCATCAGAATTTCCTGATACTAATAAATTTTCTTCAAAATTTAAAATTATACATAAAACTGAAAATTTATTTCCTTTTAATTTCATTTAATATTTATTAGAACAAATTCCTTAAGTAGACCATATGGCCAAAGTGCTATCAGAACTTCCTGATATTAATTAATTTGATTTCAATAAGAACATAATACAATTAATAGTTTATAAATGGGCATTCGTTATTGAAATAAACTTTAATTTTCCAGAATTAAACTGATAAATTGATAATTCACAATTTTGACCAACTATTACTTTAGACAATACTTGGTTGATTTTAATCAATTAACATGGTTTTTTTAAATAGGGATATTTTACTCCTATCAATTCATAACTGAAATTGTTGTTATTTTAGGAATTTTTTTCTAATTTAACTTTATTGAACATGTAATTAATTTTATAGATTAAATAAATAATAATAAAATTAATTAAGCTTTTTTATAAGTTAAACATTATTATTCACAATTATTTAATACTTAAAGATTTTTCAGAATTTCAAGAAAATAGTTTTATGTCACGTAACAAAAATTAATAATTTTCAAGATAAATAAGTATGTTGTTATTTAAAGATATTATTTCAAAAATAAATAAATGGATATATTTAAATGTAATTTTTACAAAAAGAATAAATTGTTCCAAAACTATTAACTAGAAAAACTATTAATAATAAATAAGTATTCTATAATTTTCTATTTCATAATAATTTAAAAGGCAAAAATTTTATATTCTCTTATTTCTTGCTTAAGAATACAAAACTATATATATATCTATACATATTATTCGGTATACTTTCCTTTATCTGATCATTTTGTAACATCATTAATCATTTTGATTTGTAAAATCTTTAATAAAATTTAAAGTAGAATTTATTTTTTTATACATTATTATTTGTAAAACACATAATATAATACATTACAATAGTTTTTTTATGAATAATATAATTACCTTTTATTATATTTTTAAATACAAAATTTATTTCTTAATTTAAGTTACATCTATTCCTGAGAAAAATAAACTTTATGAATTTTAATAATTTTAAAGTTTATAAATGTCATTATTGAGTTTTAAATAGGTGTATCATTATATGAGTTTTTAATCATCAATTCATAATAATAATTTTACTTATAATGATTGGTACCATAAATTTATGAAGGTTATTTAGATTTAAATTTTTATTTATTTTTCTACTTGTAATTCATATGAGAGAAATAATGTTTTTTTAAATTTTTTTCGAATGTGTTGATTTTATATGAGAGCTTAGCTTCATATATTCTTATTCATAGAAAACGTGGTTGAGCGGTTAAGGCGGCAGACTAGAAATCTGTTTAAATTTCTACTATAATCTTATAGTAACCATTTAGGCTTTACCCTTATTAGAAAAATAATTTTTCATTCAAACCCTATGTATTTTGGTTTTGAGAATTTAAAAAGAAAAAGAATCTAACTCTAATTTACACTATCTGTTATCTATAAGTGGGGCATATATTTATATTATAGTTAATCATTTCACATATTATGTTNTACTATCTTATATGTAATTCTTCTGATGTGCTATCCCAAGTTATTAAAAATTCTCCATCATCACTCAAAGAACCAGAAATATTCGAATTAAGAAATTTTATTGATTAATGTAATCTAAATTCTTATTTATTAGAAAAATCAATTAAATGAATCCAATTACAACTTTTAACAACCAAAATATACTTTTAATTTATATATTACTAGTTAAAATTTCCCTCACATTTTGAACCATCTTAAATTAAAATTTCGCTGAATTTATAAATATTCTTAGTTCTCTAATTAAAATGGTTAATTATTATAAATCTCGATTTCTTAGGTAAAAACGATATAAAACAATTATCTATAAAACAGATGCTATAATCTTCATAATTAGTTTTAATTCGATATACAATGTCCCATTTTTTAGTATTGGGGCATTAATTTAATATCTAAATTTAGTGTTCTGAAGCTGAAATTAATTACTAGCATTCTTTATTAAAATATAAATTAAACACTTTTCCTGTATGAGTAACTATTGTTTAAAAGTTTTTCCAAGTATTTTAATAACTCCAAAATCTTAAAGATTCATCAGAATTTCCTGATACTAATAAATTTTCTTCAAAATTTAAAATTATACATAAAACTGAAAATTTATTTCCTTTTAATTTCATTTAATATTTATTAGAACAAATTCCTTAAGTAGACCATATGGCCAAAGTGCTATCAGAACTTCCTGATATTAATTAATTTGATTTCAATAAGAACATAATACAATTAATAGTTTATAAATGGGCATTCGTTATTGAAATAAACTTTAATTTTCCAGAATTAAACTGATAAATTGATAATTCACAATTTTGACCAACTATTACTTTAGACAATACTTGGTTGATTTTAATCAATTAACATGGTTTTTTTAAATAGGGATATTTTACTCCTATCAATTCATAACTGAAATTGTTGTTATTTTAGGAATTTTTTTCTAATTTAACTTTATTGAACATGTAATTAATTTTATAGATTAAATAAATAATAATAAAATTAATTAAGCTTTTTTATAAGTTAAACATTATTATTCACAATTATTTAATACTTAAAGATTTTTCAGAATTTCAAGAAAATAGTTTTATGTCACGTAACAAAAATTAATAATTTTCAAGATAAATAAGTATGTTGTTATTTAAAGATATTATTTCAAAAATAAATAAATGGATATATTTAAATGTAATTTTTACAAAAAGAATAAATTGTTCCAAAACTATTAACTAGAAAAACTATTAATAATAAATAAGTATTCTATAATTTTCTATTTCATAATAATTTAAAAGGCAAAAATTTTATATTCTCTTATTTCTTGCTTAAGAATACAAAACTATATATATATCTATACATATTATTCGGTATACTTTCCTTTATCTGATCATTTTGTAACATCATTAATCATTTTGATTTGTAAAATCTTTAATAAAATTTAAAGTAGAATTTATTTTTTTATACATTANTACTATCTTATATGTAATTCTTCTGATGTGCTATCCCAAGTTATTAAAAATTCTCCATCATCACTCAAAGAACCAGAAATATTCGAATTAAGAAATTTTATTGATTAATGTAATCTAAATTCTTATTTATTAGAAAAATCAATTAAATGAATCCAATTACAACTTTTAACAACCAAAATATACTTTTAATTTATATATTACTAGTTAAAATTTCCCTCACATTTTGAACCATCTTAAATTAAAATTTCGCTGAATTTATAAATATTCTTAGTTCTCTAATTAAAATGGTTAATTATTATAAATCTCGATTTCTTAGGTAAAAACGATATAAAACAATTATCTATAAAACAGATGCTATAATCTTCATAATTAGTTTTAATTCGATATACAATGTCCCATTTTTTAGTATTGGGGCATTAATTTAATATCTAAATTTAGTGTTCTGAAGCTGAAATTAATTACTAGCATTCTTTATTAAAATATAAATTAAACACTTTTCCTGTATGAGTAACTATTGTTTAAAAGTTTTTCCAAGTATTTTAATAACTCCAAAATCTTAAAGATTCATCAGAATTTCCTGATACTAATAAATTTTCTTCAAAATTTAAAATTATACATAAAACTGAAAATTTATTTCCTTTTAATTTCATTTAATATTTATTAGAACAAATTCCTTAAGTAGACCATATGGCCAAAGTGCTATCAGAACTTCCTGATATTAATTAATTTGATTTCAATAAGAACATAATACAATTAATAGTTTATAAATGGGCATTCGTTATTGAAATAAACTTTAATTTTCCAGAATTAAACTGATAAATTGATAATTCACAATTTTGACCAACTATTACTTTAGACAATACTTGGTTGATTTTAATCAATTAACATGGTTTTTTTAAATAGGGATATTTTACTCCTATCAATTCATAACTGAAATTGTTGTTATTTTAGGAATTTTTTTCTAATTTAACTTTATTGAACATGTAATTAATTTTATAGATTAAATAAATAATAATAAAATTAATTAAGCTTTTTTATAAGTTAAACATTATTATTCACAATTATTTAATACTTAAAGATTTTTCAGAATTTCAAGAAAATAGTTTTATGTCACGTAACAAAAATTAATAATTTTCAAGATAAATAAGTATGTTGTTATTTAAAGATATTATTTCAAAAATAAATAAATGGATATATTTAAATGTAATTTTTACAAAAAGAATAAATTGTTCCAAAACTATTAACTAGAAAAACTATTAATAATAAATAAGTATTCTATAATTTTCTATTTCATAATAATTTAAAAGGCAAAAATTTTATATTCTCTTATTTCTTGCTTAAGAATACAAAACTATATATATATCTATACATATTATTCGGTATACTTTCCTTTATCTGATCATTTTGTAACATCATTAATCATTTTGATTTGTAAAATCTTTAATAAAATTTAAAGTAGAATTTATTTTTTTATACATTATTATTTGTAAAACACATAATATAATACATTACAATAGTTTTTTTATGAATAATATAATTACCTTTTATTATATTTTTAAATACAAAATTTATTTCTTAATTTAAGTTACATCTATTCCTGAGAAAAATAAACTTTATGAATTTTAATAATTTTAAAGTTTATAAATGTCATTATTGAGTTTTAAATAGGTGTATCATTATATGAGTTTTTAATCATCAATTCATAATAATAATTTTACTTATAATGATTGGTACCATAAATTTATGAAGGTTATTTAGATTTAAATTTTTATTTATTTTTCTACTTGTAATTCATATGAGAGAAATAATGTTTTTTTAAATTTTTTTCGAATGTGTTGATTTTATATGAGAGCTTAGCTTCATATATTCTTATTCATAGAAAACGTGGTTGAGCGGTTAAGGCGGCAGACTAGAAATCTGTTTAAATTTCTACTATAATCTTATAGTAACCATTTAGGCTTTACCCTTATTAGAAAAATAATTTTTCATTCAAACCCTATGTATTTTGGTTTTGAGAATTTAAAAAGAAAAAGAATCTAACTCTAATTTACACTATCTGTTATCTATAAGTGGGGCATATATTTATATTATAGTTAATCATTTCACATATTATGTTTGATCTAATAATAACTAAACCATAAAAAACCAACATTTCTTCTATATTTCTGATAAAGTATCACTTTTACTTCTTTATTATTTATATTTCTAAAACAACTGTTAATTCTCAATAATCTAAATATATATTTATACAAATAAATTGTAAGATTTAAAATAATCCAATTAATTATTTTTTCATAATTTATTATTAAAATTAATATTCTAAAGTAATGAAAAAACATTAAATTGAAATTTTCAATAATCAACTAGATAAGTATGTGAAAATTAAATATTTTAAGTTTAATTACTTTTTTTAATAAATTATTTATCTCAGAAGAATTATGTTAATAAATTAAATAAAATACTCATTTTATCAATATGTTTTGGTAAGCTCTATTTGTTAGACTAATTAGAAAAAGTTTAACTTTGTTTTTTTTAAATTGTTATATTTACTAAAACTCCCCAGAAAAGTATAATTTAAATAGAGAATTATTTTTATCTTATAGATAGAAGTTATATTGAAATTTCATCATATTATGATATCCATATTAAAAAAAAGAGAATTATAATTTTCTTTTTTATAAGCAAATATATTATTAAAAATTTTACAAAAAGTAAAAGTTTAATAGAAAATATTAAATTTGCGTAGTTGATCGTATATAAATTAGGAATGCTTAATATATTTTTAGGAAGAGATCAAACAGAAAGTTCTAGTAGATTAAAATTTGGATTATTAAGTGTTAAAAAATTAGTTTTATAAACTATATTAAATAATATCGTCATTCAATAATTACTGACAATTTTATACAAGAAACAAGAAAATTTGATAAATGAATTTTAATTCAAACATATCTTGAAAATCTTTTAATGAAAATTTTAAGCTTTAAAATACTAGATGTAAACATTGAAATTTAAAATCAAAACAAAGTCTTCTTTCATGGAAGTCTTTTGGTCTTTTCAAATTTATTTCTAAGGTAATCGTTCCATAAGTATAGTAAATCTGTAAATTCAGAAGAGTGTTAAGTAAATTTCTTAATCATTGTAATATTTTTCTTTTTCTCAGTATTTTCTATCTTTTAATTATGAAAATTAAAGCATGAAGGAGATTTTTCAGGAGTAGGATTAGACTTCAAATCATCATCCAAATTATCAGCATCACCAATTATTATTAATGGAGAAAGGGAATTTTAATGAAGCTATTGCATGCTTAATTAATTAAAATATATATAAAAACGAGATATGACAAGCTACTTTTTATAAAAGCTTTTTTTATACATTAATTATAATCAAATTCGCTATTTTTAAATACCATTTTATATAACATTTCATATCTTAGTACATTTTACATAATTAAGTAAATGATCGAATTATATTAAATAGATGAAGCAATATAAATATTATAAAATCAGTATTCACAACTATTTAGGCTCAAATTTTTTCACTAAGTAATCATTCCACATGTATAATTACTCAGTAAAGTCTTGAGAACGAAATTTTCTTCTTTTTATTGTATTTTCTCCATCAGAATTCTTTCTTCCTGATTAGATAAATGTATTATTTGAAGATGATTGGCTCAATTATTCAAATTCATCTAGATAATTGATAGGACTATTGTCTCCATCTATAATTAGATGTTTTAGAGGACTCAATGTTATGTTTTACATGATTATATTTTTATTAATAAAATGTATATGTACTCCAATCTCATTTTTATATAACAATGTTTTACATCAGAAATTTACAAAAAAATTTAAATCCCCCTAGAAATGATCATATTTTTGGTATACAAAGAAAAGGACTATACTTTTCAAATCTGTTAATTATCATTTCTAATAAACTAAAAAAGGATTACAAGAATATATAATTAATACTGAATTCAATTGACCTAATCGTGATATCATTATCAAATTCATGATCCTGTGTACTTCTAAGGTTTGAATTCATAAAAAAACATGATTCAAATTAATACATTTGATGTTTAAAAAAAATTAAGAATTAATTTCAATTAAAACCTATGTATGAAAAATATTTTACTAAGAATGATTAAAGTTGGATTATACCTTATAAAATAATTCAAAAAATATTCAAGATCTATGCTTATATATATGTAAATCCATATTAACGATATTATTAATTTATATAAATAAGTTATATAATTATATATAATCTAATAAAATATTTTATTTAAATGGTAAAAATTTTATTAAAATAATTAAAAGATTCTCACTTGTTTTTTCAAATTAAATGAAAACATGTAATATTTGGATTTAATTAAATAAGGTATAATTTTTAATTACAAAATTGAACTTTATATTGATAATAAATTAATCAAATCAATAAATTAAAAATTTCAATGTATGTAATTTTTATAAAATATATTAAGCATCAAAACATAAAATTTCCCTGCTGAATATATGTGATTTAAAGTTCTAAATATAAATATAATTTATAATATAGAAAATCCATTGATATTAATTTGATAACTAGGTTATAAAGAGGATATATCAAAGTATTAAATTAGATTTTTTTTAAATTAAAGGATCTTAAAATAAAATTAATGGGATCGAATCTAATTAATTTAGAATATTTTTTTAGCTTATTAATCAAAAATAACGAGAAACACTTATGATATTTTTATAAATTTTTCTGGTTTTTTTAAATAAAACTCATTAAAAAGCATATAAATTCTATTAATATTTTATGGTTTAAGTTTGAATTAAAATTTCTTATATGATTACTAATTAGAGCGATTTGTTAATCTGTTAGATAAAATTATTTATAGAATGAATCAGAAATTGAATATATTAATTTATTTAATTACACCAACTTAGGATTTTTATAATGAATTTTTGAAATAGTATATAATTTATTTTGGATACAAGTTTATTATGCACATCTAAAAAATTTTAAATAATTGAAATTTAATATTTAATTAACAAATTTTGAAATTAAGAAATGTCGGAAGAATCTAATTCAATACTAACAACAATTAAGTATTACAAAAGTATTTTAAAATTTCCATCTTTTTCAAAATAATATTCAGAATTAGATGAGAGTTAAGAATAAAATGAACTTTTTTTTTGTAATTCTAAACAAAGAAAGGAGGAAAGCTTAAGACTTTTAAGAGATTGGGCTTAGAATAGGATGGAATTATTTGAAAAGAATAGAGAAATTATTGAAGAATTAGAAAGCTCATGTGATTAGAGAATACGATTATCAGTAGATTTTCTCTAAATAGTTTACAAATTTTTTAATGAGAAATATTTTCATGAGCAATAATATGCTTAATTTTTAATTACAAAACCTTAACCAGCATTAAAATAGAATCTATTAAATTAATAATTATATTCTGCAATTGGAACTTCAATATCAACATTTGAAGAATACAATTTAAAAAGATTGGAAAAGATAGCAAATTTTGCCCACACAATTTAAACACAAATTTTAAAAGCTTAATCATTTCTAGATTTAAGTGATATGGATAGATAATTAGATTTAATTTTAAGTTCAATAATCACATAGAAGAGATTGCTTTAAACTTACATAAAATCAGCAGGTTAGAAATTAAATTTAATAATTTAATAATTTCCACAACATTAATCATCTTAAAAATAGAGAAAACCAATATTTAATGATTAATAATAATAGCCATAGTAAAGTAGAACTGATAAAATATTATAGAATATCTCTGCATTAGGAACTTTATTAGTTGGAGCATCATCTTTATAAGATCCAGTTGAAATGGAACTTAATTAATAGATGAAAGATTAAGAAAGATAAATAAGGGAATAATAGTTAAAAGAGGAATAAAGTTTGAGTAATGGAAATGAATTATAATAGGAAAAATAACAAAAGGAAGAATAATAATAAGAAACATAAACAAATAAGCAAGAGGGATAAGAAGATATATAATAGAAAGTAGAGAATTTGGAATAATTAAAAGAAAATTAAATAGAATAAAAGATTGAATAAGAATTATAATAGGAGAAATTAACATAGAAATAAACTGAATCTTTAAGTGGTGCAGAATATTATAAATAAAAATAATTATTAAAAGAACGATAGCAATAAGAGGAAAATAAACTTAGTACTAAAAATTATTAATCTCAAAATTAACCAAATATTTAATTATAAAATAATTATGAGGATGATGGAAGAAAAGTAACTAATCAACCAAATGATCTTTATAGACTCATCATCAGCTTTGTAGCAACTTAATAGTATACAAACAAATTATTAAATTAATTATCTGAAAAAGTATTATAATATTGGAAATAAGTATATCTAATTAAAATATTTATTAGATTGCTGCTATAGAATTAAAGCGTGCATAATGGGCTAAAGATTCATGTTTGATCTATAAAAAGGGAATGTAAGAAGTCCATAATTTACAGGTAGAATTACCTGAATTAACTATTGATGTTGATTAACATTACAACATTAAGAAATTATTGCCTAAAGAAATTGCATAGTTTGATGATAATCATTAAGATGAATTCATTTCAACATTAGTTATTAAAGAAATTGGATGTTAAGCAGCAAGATTGTTACTAGTTAAAGAATTTAAAGTCCATGTTATTGATAAAAATAATGAATTACAAGCAATTTTAATTTTAACTATAGATAAATATGTTGGATGTTGGCTAAAACATGATTATACAATGGAAGGTAATCATTTATTCATTTTAGCCGTCGATAATCCAGTTCTTCATTATCCTATTAGTGGCATGGCTATATAGAAAGTTAATGAATTAATATTAGATATTATGCCTTCGAGACATTTATTGTTTTTGAATGTAAAACTTAAATATTTATTCTAAGATTGCAAATGATAGATAAAAAAATAAAATTAAGTTTCAAACAGCTGATGACATGGAAGAATTCTTTACAATTTCATAAGCAAAAGTCTGATTATTTTATGTGTAATCTCACAACATTTGAATTTCTTATAAAAATTAAAAATTTTTTAATATAATGACAAGTTAAATTCAAATCAAAGTAAATTTGAAAAAATGAATATTAGAGAGATTGTTATAAATGCTAAATAATACATTAAGTGATTTGTTTGGTAATAAATAACCAAACTACATAATTTATTTTATAAGCAAAAATAAATTCATCATTTAAATCTTTACATCAATTAATTTTATAGCATTTTCCTAACACTTCATCTTCTTTTTCAAAAAAAGTATCTGTTAAATCGAATTCATAATCATCTTAAATTTTATTCAATGATTTTTTCAATTTTGATAGTAATTCATTTCTTTGTGTCTCTTTTCTTAAAAATAATAGATGAAAATTTTCTAAAGAACTTATATATTGACAATAATTTTTTTTTCATCAAATCAGTTCTTTCAAAATTAACAACTACAAATAGTGATCCTACTTTATTTGGATATTTATAAAATATAGATTAATAGAGTTTTATTTATTATTCTCTTTCATCTATATTTGATTCAAAATCAAATGCTTTTGTATCTACAAAATTATAAATTAAAGAATCATCTATTCTTGCTGGATATAATTAAAATTCTTTTAAATTAATAATATAACCTGAAAAAATAGTTTTTATTATTGATGTTTTACCAACTCCTGCACTACCTAAAAATAATGCAATTGGATATTTCTATTAATTTTTTTATAATTCTTAATGATTAATAGGTAATTTAAAATGAATTTATTAATTATAAACATCTAATTCAACTTTTTATTAATTATTTTATTTTTAACCAAAAAAACCAAAGAGTTATTTTTAGGATATATTTTCTTATCTCTTTTTTTCTCTATAAAATGCAGAGTTTTCTTTTAGTTGTTGTTAAGATGTATTTTATTGATTTTGAATTTATTAATTATAAGCATCTTATTCAACTTTTTATTAATCTATTTTACTTTGATCTTCTTAAGGTTTTTTTGTATTTTAGTTTGATATAATATTATCGTTAGATTATTTATCATTTTTAACAATGTTAACAGTATTTTGCTGAGGTTTGGTTTATTTCTATTTTAAATTGTTCCATGAATATTAATTTAAATCTAATTAAAGTGTTTAAGAGCTTTATGAAAAAGTTTCATTAATTGAATTAAAATTAATTTTAAGAGTTGATAGAATATTATTAAATTCATTTTCATTCTTTAAAATATGGTCAATAAAGGTACTCAATTAATTATGATTCATGAGAAATAATTCTTCTTTAGAGATATTATACTTTTGTTTTAATTTATTTTCAAATGATAAAATTTGTTCAATTAAATAGTTAAGTAGTTCAATAATAGATTAGATTTTATCTTTTTTATTTTAAATAACTTCAAGCATTTCAGTAAAATAACATATACTACTTAAATGAGTGTGTTTGCCTTCATTCAAACATTTGGGACAGAATATTCTTGATTCATTACAATATTCATTCAGACAGAAATTGGCAGGTCTATTATGTATTGAACAGCAGATTTTGTAATCATCATCATCCTATAGTTTTGAAAATGATGATGAAGACATGTTTATTTAATTAAATAATGAAATAAAGAGGAATAGTGTAATAAAAATGAATAATATATAGTATTAAATATTTTTTATAAATTTATAAAATTTGAATATTGAGAAAAAAAATGATCAACAAAAAGAATTAATAACATAATGAAATAAGTGTATATGTATAAATGAACTCAAAAAAAAAGAAAAAAAGAGAGAAGTAAAAAAAAATAAGCAAGTATATAAATCAAAGAGATGATAGTTTGATCAAGTTTCTATTTCAGCAGTTTAATCATTTTCTCCTTCAATTTTGATTCTTCTACCATTTTCCCAGATACCAGCTTTTCTATCTCCAGTTTCAGTGACAATAACACCTTTACCATTTTATTTTCCATTAGCCCATTCTCCTTCATATCTTTTTCCATTATTCCATGAGAATATACCTTAACCATGTTTCTTATCGTCTAAATAATATCCTTTATAACTTTTTCCATCAGGCCATACAGTTTCACCATATCCATTCATTTTATTGTTTAACCAATTTCCAACATAAGTCTTACCATCATTCCAAACATATCTCCCATGACCACTTATTTCATTATCTAAGAAATCTCCTTCATATAGACTATTATCAGCAAACTGTAACTTTCCTTTCCCATTCTTTTTACCAAAAGTATACATTCCCTAAAATGAATTGATTTCTAATACTTCATATTTAGATCCATCTGGCCATACTTCAATACCATAACCATGTTATTAATCATTAAGCCAATCTCCTTCATAACGTGCACCTCCTGCATGTGTATATATTCCTTTTCCATTTGCCATATCATTTACCCATTATCCTTCATATATATCTCCATCACAATGCACTGTATATATTAAATCATTTACATAATTTCCCTTAACCTTCAGCCTTATCGTTCTTCCATTATCCTTCATAATGTCCTCCATCAGCCCAATACTATTATTTATATAAAATTATAATATATACATGAATTCCTTAACCATGTCTCATACTATTCAACCATTCACCTTCATAATAACCTCCATTGATCATATTAATCCGTGGCAATTTCTTATTTACTCCTTTCGTACTTTGTACTAATTATTAGGCTTCATCATTTAGTGGTTTATTATCCTCTACATAACTAAATCAATTGAACCATGACAATATGATTTCTCTTCTGTTTGTTTTTCTTTTTCTACCATATGTTGATCATTTGGACCTCTCTATGTTTCAAGTTCTTATTCATTTTGTTTTTTAGGTATACAATTACAGCTTCCCATTATTTTAAATTAAAATTTATATTTTAGTCTCAATTTCTTAAGTAGAACAACTTCTATTATAAATCAATAAATTGTCTATGTATTCAAAATATACCATATTATATAACCACATATCTATTAGATATATAAATAAATATAATTAAAATATGGATAAACCATCATTATTCTCAGAATATATGTCCATTCTCTAAAAAACCCCATTATGTAGAAGTTCTGAATAATAAATAAACATTTAAGTTTCGCAAAGACTATTACATTCTTCAGATAATTAAAACAACACTCTATAGCAATCCTATAAAGATGTCTTTTAATACTCTATTTCTGAACAATAAAAGCAAGAAAAGTATAATTGTGTGTTCTCCACTGCCTCTATATTCTTAGTGGATCTGTAGGTATTAATATTAGTTTGAAAAATGTGAAGATCCTTAATTATTTCAATAAAAAGAAGTTAATATTTTAAGTACAGGAATAGGATTTGGAGTATTGACTTTAATAAATTATTATAAAAGAAAAGCTACCGTTATAGCTAAAGATAATTTTATATTTGCATTCATCAAGAAACACCATAACAAATCTATTTCATATAATTAAGATATGGCCCAAATATAAAATTAGATTTCATTTTTTTTTTCATTTCTATTCTTCAATTCTTTGTCTATTATTTTGAATCTATATCTGTTAATCTTTCAATCAACCAATATTTAGACAAAATATGAATTTTATATTCAATTCTATGTTTTTAAAAAAGGAGATTTTTAAGTGTTGTCAATATATATAGAATATCAAGATGATTTTTAACTCCACAATTTTGCTTTATTTATTGCCTTTAAATTTCTTATTAAATTTTTTTAGTGAATTAATATTATAATAATGCAATTTAAAACAAATTATATATTTCTAGTTGCACTTCTAGACCTAGTGAATCATTTGGAAAAGTAGCTTTTTTCAATAATTATTGCTAATTCTTAAAAAAGCCTTCAGTTATTTCCAAATAAGCTAAGTCTAAGTGAAATATTATTTGTAAGAGTGAAACTTATTAGCATATAAAATTACAAGGGAAAATATAATTCTTGAGAGTAGTTCAAACATTGTTGATAAATTCATTAAGAGTATCAAATATAAAGTACAAAAACATAAATGCATATGAAAAATGAAGAAAAAAATACATTTATTAATATTCGTACTCAGATAGAAGTATGAATAGAAGGGAAGTAAAATGTAATGTTAATTGAATGATATTAGTATGGTTTAATATTAATTGGAATCAAATAAATTATCTATTATAAAACAACTTGTAATTATAAAAGTTTTATTAATGATAAAATAATAAAATATATAGCAATTATTCCCTAACCTATAAGAATAATCTTATAAGAGTCTTGAAAAAGTGTATGAAAATATTGCTCTATAATAATTCCATGTGTTAGTTTAACAAATAAAAACTAAGTTTCCAATTCCAAATTAAATCAATCCTGTGTAATTTCCTACATAGGAGAATGTAATTGAATTCTTTTAGAATTATAACCCAATTATTTTAGATTTAACTAACATATAAGATGTGAAGATAAAGTTATACAAAAATGCAGCATTTTATGGTACTTTAGTTGATGGTTTGAGACAAGGACATGGCATATTAATAAAATAAACATTATAACTTTATGAAGGTTAATTTCTTAGAGATAAGAAGGATGGAATAGGATTTGAATTACTGAAACAAAATCAATTTTATTATGGTTCATATCTAAATGGTTTACCACATGGAGAAGGAGTATTTTGGTCAAAAAACTAAAAGTATATTGGTTAATGGCATTAAGGAAAGAAAGTATATAATTATAAATAATATTTAAATAGCATGGAGTAGGATGGTATTAAGGAAGTCATAGTGATTATTATTTAGGATAATGGGAAAATGGTAGATGTTTTGGACTTTGTATTTATATTAATGGGGATATGTATAAAGTGAAATAATAATTTTAGATTCGTTGGGAATGTTACAAATGATCTTAAACATGGTAATGGTTAAGAGTATTTTGAGAGTGGTGATTATTTTAATGGAGAATATAGAAATGGTAAACCTAATGGTCATGGTGAATTTTATTGGAATAATGGTAACTTCTATAAAGGTGAATTCATCAATGGATAAAGAAATGGATATGGAATTTGGGAAGGTAAAACATAAGAAGGAATAAATACATATAAAGGATACTATGTTAATGATAAAAAATGTGGAGAAGGAATATTTGAATATGCTAATGGAACTAAATATTAAGGTTATTTTGTTGATGATAAAAGATGTGGTTATGGCGAAATCATTTGGTAAGATAGAGCTACTTACAAAGGTTATTGGGTTGATGGATTAATGGAAGGAGAAGGAATCTATGAATATGATACACTTGTACTTAAAGGTAATTGGAAAACTAATTAATTATAAACTATTGATAAACTTAGAGTTTCATTAAATCAATTTCCATAATAACATAATCTAAAAGAAATTAATGAAAGTCAAGACATTTTATCATAAATCGCTGATGAACCTGATTAGGATGAAATTGGAGACTAATTTTAAACTGAAATTCTTGGATGTAAAACTGATAATAGTAATAATGTTCATCCATAAAATACATCTAATATATCACATAATACTAGTCATAATGAAACGTAATTTAATTAAAAATTACCAATCTTATAAAGATAATTTGATTTGCTTAGTCTTTTAGATTCAAGTCTTTAATTCTAATCTTTAGATGCTTCACATAGATAAAATAGTTCAAGTATTGCAATTTAAACAGAAAGTAAATAAATATTTTTACCTAAATTAAATTTGAATCAGAAAATACAAAATTAACATAGTAAAAGTGTTAATCATAACAATAATTAATTTTAATATGATTCCTTTTCTAACTCACCCAAAACTAGAGGAACTGATTTATCCAATAAATCGCAAAGACCTTAAAATTTAAACAAACCTAATAGATCTATCTAATGTAGAAATAGAAAATATAAATAAGTTCTACTATCCAAAAAAGAATAAAATATTTGGGCTATCAAGATGAATAAATTAAAATTAAGTCCCAATAAATATAGCAAATTATGGAATCATGAAGTAAATATATATTTTCAAATTAGATTGTTAATGAAATCAAATAGTTCCTTTATCCTCCTATTTGGAAGCCTCCATCCCATTTAACATGAATTTTTATTCTATTACTTAACACTTCTTATTTATTTATTATTATTTCTATTAGAATAATTCTATTAGCACCATAAATAAACATTATCTAAACTATCAAAAAGAACAATAATAATTATGAATAGAGTTTTGAACTATACCTCATAACCTCAAAAATAACTCTATTAAGTTTCATATTTAGGTTAACCTTGGTTAATAATTCCAAATTATTAAAACTAAAACACTCAAATAAATATGCTTAAAAATTAAAATATTATAATTCTGGACTCAAAAAAGTTAAAAAGCCTTAAAAATTTGTGAATAATACCAAATAATAATAATAAAATGTTACTCATGTTTAATAGAGAAATAATTTTAGGATAACTGATTTTCCAGCTAAATCGGGGTTAACATAACCTTTTGGTTCTAATAATAAAAATATACAAGTTTCTCCAAAAGTTAATTAACAAAAAAAGGTCCAAAATAATTCATAGATTGAGTAATAAAGAAATTAGTAACAAATTCCAGCTGATAATTAGAATAACTAAAATAATTAGAAAATAATAAACTCCTCAAACCTTAAATAATTAACATAAGTTAAAAATTCTAGCAAACCTAGTAATTTAACTAACTGGTAATTTAACAAAAAATAAAATTATATATCAGTTGAATAATAATAAAATAATTATTTAAGACCTTAATAATTAGAATAATAGAATGAAAATAATAAATTAATGAATGGTAAGTTTGAGAATAAATAAGCGTTTAATACCAATGATAATTTAAAAAACAGAAAAAAATCACCAGAAATCAATAAAAATAAATATCCATACTCTTAATAATTACAATAATTGCTTAAATAAAAAAGTATAAAAATTATACCTTAGAAAGAAAAGAAAGATTAAGTTGAAATGCCTAATTAACTTAATACAGTTGATTCTAACTCAAAGCTCAGTTATAATTAGATACAGTAATAAATACAAAACTAAATATAATCTTAATAAATATCTGATATTCAAATAAAGTATTCCAATTCATCTTAGAAAAACTAAAATTAAGATAATAGAACAGTATAAAAAGATGACTTAGAAAAATAAATAAATAATTAAACAAATAATGTATAATATTTGGATAAAATAAAAAAATAAGGAAAATGTGAATATTAAATGATTGATGAACCTAAAAATGAATAAAATTCAAATCTAATAGAAAAATAAGTAAATGAAGATTCTTAAATAAATAAATAGTTAATAAATAGTTAAACAAATAATGTATAATATTTGGATAAAATAAAAA